CGGGCACTCCGTGGAGTCGAATGATCCCACGGGTATAAATCTCAGCCAACTTGTCCTGAGACATCTTCATCGAAACGGGTAAGAAATGCGCGACCTTAGTCAATCTGTCGACCACGACCCATATAGCGTCGTGATGTTCAGACGACTTCGGCAATCCCGTAACGAAATCCATTGTGACTTCCTCCCACTTCCACCTCGGAATAGGCAGTGGCTGCAGGAGGCCGATCGGACTCTGATGTTCGGCTTTGACTTGCTGACAGGTAAAACATCTCCTAACAAACTCGGCGACGTTCTTCTTCATGCCTCACCACCAGAACGACCCCTTCATGTCGTGATACATCTTCGTGCTCCCGGGATGGGCTAAATAGGGTGCGATATGAGCCTCTGATAAAATCTCCTTCCGCAACGCCTCGACTTTCGGGACCACGATCCTGCCTCTGAACTCTAGGGCACCATCGACACCTAGCTTAAAGCCCTCGACGCCTCTTGCGCGAACCTTGGGCTCCATGACACGAACGAACTCGTCAGAAGCCTGCTCTCGCCGGATTCTCTCTCTCAGCGTCGGCTGAATCTGCATGGCACTGACACTGGCACTGACAATGACTGTGGGACGTGCATCGATCGCCTGAAGCTGCATCCGGGCAAACTCCTGAATCAACGGACTCTGCTGAGTAATGACGTACGTCAAGTCACCCCTCACCTTCTGTCTTAGGGCATCAGCAACGACGTTCGCCTTCCCCGGATGATACTGAATAGAGCAATCATAATCCTTGACGAGCTCTAGCCAACAGCGCTGTCTCATGTTGAGCTCCTTCTGAGTAAAAATATACTGCAAGCTCTTATGATCTGTGAAAATCTCACAATGACCGCCGTAAAGATAGTGTCGCCAAATCATGAGAGCATGAACGACTGCGGCTAACTCCAAGTCGTGCGCCGGATAGTTCTGCTCATGCGGCTTAAGTTGACGTGAAGCATACGCAACGACCTGGCCATCCTGCATAAGGACGCATCCCAAGCCCTGTCTCGAAGCATCGCTGAAGATGGTGAAACTCCGAGAAGGATCGGGAATAGTCAACACCGGTGTTGAAGTTAATCTCCTCTTGAGCTCCTGAAAGCTCGACTCACATCGGTCAGTCCACTCGAACCTCACAGACTTGCTCGTCAACTGGGATAGAAGGCGGGCAATCTTGGAAAAGCCCTCGATAAACCTGCGATAGTAACCAGCTAGACCGAGAAAACTGCGAACCTCGGACGGTCTCCTTGGTGTCGACCAGTTCTGAACAGCTGAGACCATAGAAGGATCCACCTCGATACCTGCCTGAGTAATCACATGACCCAGAAAAGATACTCGCTGGAGCCAGAACTCGCATTTGGAGAATTTTGCAAACAACTTTTCTCGTCTGAGGGTTTCAAGAACCACCCTCAGATGCTCCTCGTGCTCCTTCTGGCTCTTCGAGTAGATAAGAATATCGTCAATAAAGACAATAACGAACTGATCGAGGTAGGGATGGAAAACACGATTCATGAGGTCCATGAAAACTGCTGGCGCATT